AGTTAGTTTTTATTATATATTCTTGGGAAGACTGTTCCTGCAGAATGTTGACTAAATCGCAGTCGGGCAGAGTCTCTCGATTCGATATAATTCTTTTTTCCTTCTTTTTTGGTACCAACCCCAATTTATATGGTCATATATATATATAAAAATTAGGTGGATCATTATATAACATATATATATATATATATGTATGTATGTTTAATGTTTTTATATATATATATATATATATATATATATATATATATATATATATATGTATGTGTATATGTGGACATCAAAAAACCTATAGGTGTTTATTGACGTCCGATTTTATATTTATTAACACTATTTTATTATATTAAATAATATATTTTTTTTAATCATTTTTTATCTCTGTATATATGCTCTCCTTAAGTTATATTTCCGTAAGTGCTGAGCATTTTATTTTATAACACTTTCAGTCTTATATATTTATTGGTTGTTGTATCCGATTGTCTGTGTCAATGTCTGTGGATGTGTATGGAAATAATTTATTTTAATTTTTAATTGTATGTATGTACGTGTGCGTTGGTTTCTTTATTAAATTTTGATCCCCCACCCTTTTTTTTTTTTTTTTATACGATCGTGGTGATGTTCTCTGTCTCGTCTCTTTTTTGTGTGTATATATATTTTAAATATATCTGGGTGCTTATATATTATAATCTGATTGCGTTTTGTTTTACGCGTGAGTTTAGGACCCCATTCACACACTCTTAGGATTAAAATGGATACATTGTCAAAGAACGGATATAAAATTAGCTAAAATTAACTTCAATGAAGAAATAAATTGAATAACATATATATTTCTTCTTTTCTCCTCAGTAATTTTATAGTTTTAAACTTAATAGCGATTAAATTTTGATTTTGAAATTAGCAGTTTTTAATTTTAATATTAAATTTTATCATATAATTTAATAATTATTGATTAGAATAAATTCTTTTTTTTTATATATACCCATATTTTAAATATTTGAATAGCTATTATAACATGACTTCGTTGTCAAGCTTTTTGAATTTTCCTATACTTATTTTGATTGGTCCATCTAGCTTTTTATTAACAAAGTTTTTCCCTTTTTGAAGGATTGTTAATTAATTTGAAACTTTTAAAACCATTTATTTTACATTCAACATCATCACTTGATAAGACACCGAGAGTGTTGAAACAAAATAGCTATTTTTGTAGTGATTTTATAACATATTTATGTTATAAATTTTTTTAAATAAATAATTATATCTGCTCTACTTTGTATTGAGCACTCTTTTAAGAATAGTATTTGTTGGTTATTGGAATTCATTCCGTATACACCAATCATATACTTGATATATATATATATATATATATATATATATATATATATATATATATATATATATACCGGTGTAAAAAAATAAATAAATCGTGTAACAGCAAAAAAAAAATGTTTAATATCTAAAAAAAAACACTAATTGAGTTTCTTTTTTTTCAGGTTTTCAAATAAGTGATTTAGCCATCTTGACACCATTTGCCTTAAGAATCACTGAAAACTCAAGTTAGCTAGAAAGAGAACAGGATAAAATCATTTTGTGTCAGCCCCAGTATGTCTTCCCAACTGAGCAATGGCGAAAAGAAAAAGATCATTCAGGCCTTCAGTAATGGCACCAAAATTCATACACTGGTTTTCATAATCAATGTTCATTCAAGAACCATCAAGAGAACCTTATTAGCAATTTTCCCATTCTTATAGACGTTAATCCATCATTCTTTCTTCTCGCTGGATCCATTCTGCCTCCAATATCTTCCCCAAATTTCTGCACTTTTTAATAGGTAGTTGTTTAGTGACATCTATAACCGTTTTTTCAATTTCACTGTAAAATTACAGGTGCGTTTGGAATATCTTATTTTGGCTATAGAGCCGACAACGCTTTCCTATCGTCTTGTTCTCTGTGCCTTTAACTGTTTCCTTGATTGGTGGAATTTCATTATTTCGCAATTTGATTTTATATCTCCGCTTGATCTTCCTGCATTTGCGTGTTAAGATATTTAGGTTTCTTGAGGTCTCATCTAGCACCAATAACTTACATTTGATTTCCTTTATTTCTCTCTTCAGTTTTGCCTTCCAAACTGACCCTTTTTGTCTGTTGTTTAATTGTTTTATTGCCTTGACGTCAAGATTCCCAGTAGCTGCTAAATCTATCGTGTATGACATTATTTTCTTCTGGGATGATTCCCAGTGGTTTGTCTGTTAACAGTGTTTCCAGTGCAGCCTTGTACATTTGCACACTATGTTTATTGGACTTTGGACACCTATTCTATAGTTAATAGACTCTCCAACCTAATATAAGTAGGAGTAGTAAGAGAAACGAGGGTGAGTCGATGTCGGACGACAGTAGTCGACAGTTAGTCGAATACAAAAGTAGTCAGCGACCACAATAAGATTACTCTGCGTAATACCCATTATATCACGTTCCTAACGTTTTGTACGTCAAACTATTTAGGACCGATTTAGTACAAATACAAACCTCCACTGCGAAATAACTCCATAACATCATATGTGTGTGCTGGTCTCTGTCTGACATTTTTTCTGCTGAGTATTTGAATAATTTGGTTTGTCGCTTCGGTGATTTCACCTCTGTTGTTTTCAAGAAATTCTGTCCTAATGTCGTTTGACTCATCTTCAGTGACATAATCTGGATAACTGCAGTTTATTTCTCAGGTAGATTCTTCAGTTTTATTTCCTGAGAGATTATTATTTCGTATCTCATTTATTTTAGTTTTTTCCTCATCCTTTGTCATATTATTTAAGTCCAGTCTTATCTATTTATTGTTTGAGTGATGGGTTACTTTATCCTTTCTTATATTTAGTTTTATCTGATCTATTTCTGCATTTGAGAGACTTTTATTTCGCACGATGTCCCTGCGGACATTGGCAAGTAAGTTTGGGTTGAGATAGAGTCTTATAGCAATTCCTACCATAGTTCTCTATATTTGGTATGTCAGGTCCGTGATGTTCTTTTATGAATTTTCGAGTACGGTGAAAAAGAATGTCATGACTTGTTGATACTCTTCGCGAGTCCATTTTGTTCGCTTTCCTTTTAATAATTGTTTTGTTTGGTTTGGTTTATTTTAACAGCATATCAACCTCAATGGGTTATTTAATTCCAACAACATTTTTAAGATAGATTCGTATGAATAGAGTATGTATTCTTTGGTTTAGATTGGTTTGGTTTATTTTGTTTTACTACACATCAACCTCAATGGGCCACCTAATGCCGACAAAATTCTTTATTGCTGGTAATATTTTGTTTTGTCAAAAATCTGTTTCTGGTAATATATTTCCTTCAAAATTGTATTGCTGGTAATAATTTCTTTAAAAAAAAAAGTATTGGTGGTAATAGTTAATTATTTGCTCATAGCTAGGACCCTAACAAGTGTTACCACTCCGGGTCAGGATGGACCTGGGAACACCAGCAAATAAGAGGTGGTTCCAGGCTTCTTAAAACCTCCTTATCAGTAGCCTTGCTGCTGGACATAGTTTAACGTCTTACCCAGGACGAAATTGTTTTGGCATCGAGTCACTTAGGAACAAGGTCCGGGTTTAGTGACCAGGCGTTTTATCGCTGTTGAAAGAATTTGTTCCAATGACAGATTTTTCGGCCCTAATCGCGGCCCTTGTTAATCCGGGTGACGGCCGATCCAGTATATTACTATTATTTGTTGTTGTTATTGTAGGAGTAGAATTTACGTTTATAATTAAGTTAATCAATGGTTTAGAAGTTAACCAGTTGTTTGTGATTTTCGCCCTGAGCATCCCGTACACATTAAATGCCAGTACAGGGCCTCGCTTTGGAACAACTGTATACATGTTGTTCTCGTTGACTCACATAGTGATTTAGTTCCTCACAAGTGACATATAAGGAATAAAGAACAAAATGAACGTGGGAATAATTAAACGCAAAACTAGTTGACGATATAGTGAGACTTTGAAATCTTAACAAAAGCCAAATATCAGTTCGACAAATGGATCTACAAGTTTTTGAAAATGAAGTTAATTTTTCAGAATTTTATATATTTGTTTGATATAGGATTTATTTTCTACTTTTAGAAAGCTGTAAAATGTTAAATATCGTGGATAAACAGTACGCCATCTCTTAACTTGTGCTTCTGAGATCGGCCAATCTCCAATAGATTTGGAAATGACGTCATATTTGAGACTTTAGAATGGTATTGTCTTCGAATGTAGGTCGCTGGAAATATCGATGACATTGTTTATTGTGATTTTATTTTGAGCTAACCAAATGATAAAAATGAGGCGAACAATGTACAAAATTCTTTCTTTCAATTTAGTGCAAAATTCGTGACAGAAAATTCACATAATATTGTAAGGAAGGCTGCAGCCTATTTTAGGATACAGGATAAATTTGGTCTATTATTTTTTGTTCACTGCTTGGAAATTCTCGCAAACGGAAGACACAGGTGTTGAAAGGCGTCTCGCTTCCTATACAGAACACTCAACTTCCGTTATGCAGCATGTCTTTATTATTTGATATCAAGAGCTATCTTAGATGATGAGAACAGTGACGAGAGTGTCTGCTTATTGTCAACGTAACCCATGTAATCTGTCTACATGCATGCGTACATCTGACTGGAACATTCTCCATCATATAATGATCGTCAATCATCGATCTTTCACAAGACATAAAATCAACATCTGACTATTATTATATGATGTATTCAAAACGACCACGAAGAGTTAGTTGTTTTAACACACTAAGCTTGTTATTTATATCCGGATTAATATACTTATTTAGGCTATACTCGCATAGTTTCGGCTTTTGTACCCTCCGATCTTCTTCAGGTGTCAGTAACTATATCAGAATTTTGAACCGAACCCTTTATGCAATCCACGAGAATAGACTGTTCTCGTCTATTCGATTTTTTACATTGAAAATACGCTGTGTGACTTTTGCACTAACCAACTCAATTGAGCGTTTACGGTAACATCACGTGAAAACACCAGTTCCTGTATGATCACCGAAGTTAAGCATCGTCAAGCCTGGTCAGTACCTAGATGAGTGACCGCTTGGAAATAACAAGTGCTCTAAGCTTGGAACTTTGGATGGTGTAATAGATAATGGCTCAGAATTGTTAATCGGAGAGTCAAGTTTCAAGTCCACCTGGGTTCGTTATATTCACTTTGGCGCCAATGCCCTTGGGAAGGGTATAAATCCATCTCTTCTCCCCCAGCTATGGGTTAATTAGCAAGACTTGTATCACTAAACCATTATTACCGCCCCACTAATTCGTACAATCTAAAAATGTTTTCTGGACTTACATAACATACAAAGCTCTTGGTAATCCATAAAACATAATCGATTTTCATATATTCTTATTATTTCTTATAGAGGTATGAAGCCACCTCTTCTCCTCTCGCTATGGATTAATTAGTAAAACGTGTATCGCTAAATCATTATCTTCTCCCACCAAAGAAAAGAAAAATTCTTACGATCTAAGAATATTTCTGGCTTTAAATAACCTGCAAAGAGTTGCTAAGCTGTAGAAAACAAATCAATGAGTCAATAAAAAAAGGACGGCAGATAGGCTTTTAAATAAGAATTTAGGGCCCGTATTTTTGTAACAATTCTTATTAGAGCTCATGTCTTTATTTAGGTTCAAGTATTTCCGAATGTTCTTTCTTTCTTAATCAGGGGCTCTCAGATGATGCTCATCTTTATGTTAGGTCTACTGAGTAGGTTGTCAGAAACTAACGTGTCCGTCAATTCATCCAGTTGACTTAAATGTCATTGTCTTTATCTTCATTATCTTGACTTCCTTCCACAGGGGTTGATGATCGCCATTTTCTCGCCATACCTGACCAGCCATAGCTGATTACAACATCCCTTTAAGAGGCGGCTCTTTTGGGATGAAATACAGACAGTTCTTAGTCACGTTCTATTGAGAGGGTTTTGATTCTGTCGAGATATCTACAAAGGTTTGAATGATTTTGATGTGTAAGGATCATAAGTCCTGGGATTCTTATGTACTCTTTATATTTTATAAACAGATTGCAGCAGGTCTTTTTAATTGCTGTCCTCAACTCTCCTCTCCCTGCTCGTGGAAGCTAAGAGGAATCATGTTACCTTGAAGAGTGTTTCTCCTGCTGATCATCTCCTGCTGATCACACACACACACATACACACAAACACACACACACAACTTTATTAATAAACAATTAAAATATGCATTATTTTAGTTATACGGTGAATGTCTTGGTGACTTAACGGTTATCAGCGCGAAAATCAAACTTGAAGGCCGAAATCAAATTTCGACTGAACCTGTTTCCTTCATTTTGCATTAATGCTCTTTAGAAAGACATTAATCTATCTTATCTTCTAACTATGCTTTAAATATCAAAGTAAAACACCCTTCCTTGGTTGGCAACCAGGCTAGGAGAAGGAAAACTTTGACTTCAAAACTGCGGAACAAGCAACATGAAATAAATCTAATATCTTCACCAGGAACAATCATGGCTATTTATAATTTACAGATATAAACGAGAGAGAAGCTGTGGATAGCCATGACCGTCTACATCCTGAAAGGAAATGACATTTAAAGAAAAAAGATACACGGCTGAAACAATAAATATTAATCTGATCGTTAGATTTTGTTCTAAAATTTACACTGCATAACTGGGTTAAGTGAATTGGCAACGAAAGAGATTATGCTTCAGTATAAATTTCATAATAAATATTTGGTAAAATCTGAAAGTAAATGAATTTTGTTAATTAATTGTTAATTAATCAAAATAAAAAAAATTATTATGAAATAAGAACTTTAAAAAATAATAAAAAAATGAAACTTATTAAAAGGGAACTGAAACAAATTAAGTAAAGTTTTAAACAAAAAATAATTTAAAATCAATTCTTCCCTATTATCGATTTAATAACCAATAAACTACTGCTACCCACAATACTGGTTCACATCTGAAGAATTTATTGAATGTCCCCTGTCGTGGTTTCTACTAGGTAAAATTATCTTAGGTATCATGTGAAGGTAACGATATACCTACATTACCTTAATGGACAAAATAAAATCCCCATCTGTCCATATGTTTCATTGCAGCTTTGGAATTTCACATAGACAAAATAACAGATATAATTATATCTACACTCTAAAAGCTACCCACAACAGATCTACAGAAGATAAATGCTGATTTAAGTGGTGACTAAATGAGTCAGCAATACTTAACTAAAGATTCATTTTATTCTGGCCATACCGGAGAAATGAAGAAAACTTGCCATCCAAATTATTGAATACGATTATTTTTGGTTCTTGTGTTTGGAATTAAAGCAAAATCTATTGACAAAACATAGGTGCATGCTTGAATTTCTCATCCGCCATATTTTGATCTTGTCTTGAAATCAGAACGCTACAATCATCAGTTGATTGTATCCCTTTTGCGTGTGAACTTTAGCTTGTGTACTTTTACTTTATTACTGTTGCTTTGCCTACTTTTGTCTTGCATATATATATATATATATATATATATATATATATATATATATATATATGGACCAAGTTTATACGTTATTTTTATAGATACACAGGGTATTTACTTAAATATTTGTAACTATAAAAATAACGTATAAATAATATATATATATATATATATATATATATTTTCAAATATAGTCTTAAGGTGTGCTATATTTATGGGCTAAAGTGCTCAATATCAGAGATAGAGCGTGTGTAAATATAAAAGTGAACATATAAGTCAACACTTAGAGGCGACAGTCTGTTTCATGCTATATGCAATCGTCAGTATATATATATATATATATATATATATATATATATATATATATATATATATATGTTGAATAAATTATAAACATTGTCTGCTTATTTTATCATATTCCTTTAATATTCACAAATATTTTCCCGTATATTACGATTAAATAAGAGAAGAAATGCGCTGTAACAGTGAGAATCACTTTTATTTCCCAAGTACTTTCCATATCTTTCTGAGATCATCATCAATAGTGCAACTAGTAAGGCAAAAACTATGTGTAGCTATATATTACTGAATTTTTTTCTTTTCCATTTAAATGCTACGGCTGATAGTTATGCTTTAGCGTTCATTAGAACGAGAATAGTTATCCATTATGGATTTTTTCCTTTTATGTTGGAATGTCTTGGTCAAGCGCGCATTAAAGCATGAAAACTGTTCTTTTTATAGTCATTTTAGAACATTATTACAGTATTCATCGCTGATTCTATTCAGTGTCGGCTTCAATTTTTTTTGAAGATTGCTTCGAGGATCTGTAGTTTTAATTTGTTGTTTTATTGGTGTAGAATAGTGTTATCAATCAGTATTTTTCTATACTCTGAATGTGGATAGGAATTGTGCTATAAATGTCTCGCAATGGACGAATGGTGAGACATGTGAAGAGTAAATCTGTGAGAACATGGTACAGGCACTTGCTGAGGACCCTCCTTCCTATGTAACTGTGAAGAAGTGGGCTGCGAAATGCAAGCGGGACAGGAACAGCACAATAGATCACTCTCGTTAAGGTTGTCCAAAAACCTTAACTATTGATGAACTTTCACCTCGTGGTTTTGGATAATCGACGTCTTACTATCGATAGGCATTAGTTCTAGTTCGGTCCATACTGTTTTAACTGTCATCTTGGGAATGAGCAAACCATCTTGGGAATGAGCAAACCTGCAAGATGGATCCCAAGTATGCTGACTTCAGAGTAGAAGCTGAAAAAGGGTTGATATTTCCAGGACACTTCTGCCTGACCCTGAGAATTTTCACCGCAGATTAGTAACTAAAGATAAAATCTGGGTTCGCCACTTCGAACCTGAATCAAAGATTCAAATCAAACAGTAGAAACAGCCTGGTTCTCCACCCGCCGAAGAAGTTCAAGTAAGCAGCGTCTTTTAGCAAAGTGATAGTCTATTATGATTACACTTTCAAAAAACAGAAACTATTCGGACAAGGGGAAAACTATTAATGGACAGTACTATGGATCAGAATTAAGACAACTGAAGAAATCAATCAAGTCGAAACGCAGAGGGGAGCTGGGGATAGGTGTGCTCTTGCTCCAAGATAAAGCGCCCGTTTACACTGGTCAAGTTGTCATCCTGGGTAAGACGTTAAACTACATCCACGTCCTGGGCAAGACGTTAAACTATGTCCGCGTCCTGGGTAAGACTTTAAACTATGTCCAGCAGCAAGGTCCCTGATGAGGAGATTTTGAGGAGCGTGGAACCACCTCTTAATTGCTGGTGTTCCCATGTCCACCTTGACCCGCCAATGGGCAAATACTATTACCAGCAATACTTTTTTTTAAAAATTATTACCAGCAATACAATTTTTGAAGGAAATATATTACCAGAAACAGATTTTGACAAAACAAAATATTACCAGCAATAAAAATTTTTGTCAGCATTGAATAACCATTGAGATTGATATTGAAAACAAAATAATCAATTGAAATTGATATAATTCTATTTATATGAAAAAAAATGTTAAATAAATTGAGGTTGATATGCCAAAAAACAAATAAAAAACCAATCTAAACCAAATTTGCATAATCTATTCATACCTATCCTAAAAATGTTGTCGGCATTAAATAACCCATTGAGGTTGATATGCCGTAAAACAAAATAAACCAAACCAATCTAAACCAAAGAATACATATTCTTTTCATACGAATCTATCCTAAAATGTTGTTGGCATTAAAAACCCATTGAGGTTGATATGCGTAAAAAAATAAACCAAACCAATAAAAAGAATACAAATCTATCCTAAAAGGTTGTCGGCAAAAACTCAGGTTGATATGCCGTAGCCAAACTGTGAACTTCAATTGCTAGCCAATGTGACTTCATCCCATCCCCCGTACTCACCTGACTTTGCTCCATCTGATTTCTTCCTGTATTTTTAAACTCAAATGCTACCTGCATGGTTACCATTTTGAAAACAATGATTAGATCATATGTGCTGTGGAGGAGTTTTTGGAGGTGCAGGGCGCCAATTTCTTCCATGATGGGATTGCAATGCATCGTTGGATCAAATCTAGTTTCCCCAAATAC